CGTGATTTTCTTTTCTTGAGCACATGCCGTGATGGTTCGTCTTGAGAGGGGGTGTCAGGATTGCCAGCTTGGCAAGACGAACCACTGCGAGCTTGTGAGCTAGGGTATATTGCTGTGTAACGGGTGGAGAGAGAAGAAGACAAGGAAAGACAAGGAAAGCATTCTGAGGAGACACGATCTTATCAGCCATCACCGAAGTGAGATCTGTGTTGACCACCCTTCATGATGCCATACATGGACAGAAACAACTTCCACTGACTGGTCAGTCCATCGGTCTTACTAAAGTAAAAACACTCTTACTGGGACTTACCGCCCAGCAGATCCTCTATTCAGCTAACTACAGGAAAGGTCCTCACCGGCCTTTTCGCACACCATTGACCCTGGATTGGTCTCTGGCGTCTTCGAGGCACCTGAGTATCTTCTGCAGCAGGTGGCGCGACTCGAGCGAGTCACGGAAACCAGATATCAACACCTCCATTTCCACGGAGCCAGAGATGGACGAGCTCTTCACCCCCCGGGCTAACACCGTTAGTATAGCGGTAGAATAAGCGGTTCCCATCCGCTTGGCCCGGGTTCAACTCCCGGACGGTGTATGTATGAGTAGATCGCCTTTGCAGCCGGTTTTTGACCACCGCACCGTTTGCCGTCCCTCCTGCCGCCAGGGCGGCGGATGGTGGCGATGAAATCAAACAGAAGACAGGAATAGGCTGCGAGGTCATGTCACGGTCATACATACACCGTCCGGGAGTGACCGTGACATGACCTCGCAGCCTATTCCTGTCTTCTGTTTGATTTCATCGCCACCATCCGCCGCCCTGGCGGCAGGAGGGACGGCAAACGGTGCGGTGGTCAAAAACCGGCTGCAAAGGCGATCTACTCATACATACACCGTCCGGGAGTCGAACCCGGGCCAAATGAATGGAAATCATTTATTCTACCGCTATACTAACGGTGTGAAGTTGCATGTTTCGGGCAGGTGATGACATTGAGGGTTGTGAGGTCTCTTCACAGATTCACCGATAGACGTTTGACGACAGGTCTGTCTATGCATGAATGTGTGTATGTAATGTATATATCTACAGATCGAGTCTTCCCGCCAAATCACTGGCTACGCACACGGGACCGTCCTCTGTGAGTCATCATCTCTCACAGTCACACCACTGCTGCCGGCCCCATCCTCGCCATTATCCTCATCACCCGCATCGCCCATCGGCTGGTCCGCCACACCGCCACTACCGTCCCCACCATCTGCTGCCGCACCGGGCCCGTCGTCAATCACCTCCACATCTGGACACACAGACACACAGAGAGCCAGATGGGAAGAGCCTCGTGTGTGTGTCGCTTGTTTGCCGAGACTGACTGACCTCTGTAGTGGTAGGCCGACGAACGTGGCGACGCCGGCACCGTCCGGGCGGGCGACGCGGGCTCTGTGGCATCCTCATCGCCGCCACCCGCCCCTCTGATGTCCCTCTCTGCCCCATCGCCCCCCTCCATCATCTGGTCGTTCGGCGGCGCACTCTCAGCAGCAACAGCAGCATATGGATGGGCCGGCACCGGGCTGAGATCACCACCGCTCCTTGCCCGGCGTGTTCCACTGCCGTTGCTGTCTGCCGGGGGTGAGTTGGAGTGTATCATGGCGAGAAGGTCACGGTCCTGTGATTGCGAGTCGGTGGGGGTGATGGCTGGCGGGCGCGGAGCGTCGCTGCCAGACGGAGCGGCCTCGTTTGAAGACGCAGCAGCAGCTGCTGCTGCTTTTGCGGGCTTCTCTTTCCTGAACCATCGCAGCGCAATGCAGAGGAGCACCATTGCCGCCATGCCACGTGCGTCGGTGGTGTGCATGCTTGGGCCGCTTGCCTGAGTAGGTCATGGAACTGCAGCGAGGGGTCGGTGCACGGGGCTTGTGGGTCATTTCGGTATTCCCACGGGTCTTCCCACGGGTCATATCTGGCCTGGTCGGGCAGCGCCACCTTGCCCACGGGCCGCACCTCACACGGCCCCATGAACTCCACCAGCTCGTGCACCTCCTCGTACGATGAATGCATCGCCCACATGACGTGCTGAACACACACACACGAACAAAGAAAGAAACAAACGCACACATCTGGCCTGGCTTCTCTAGTCGACCTCGCTGTCTGTCTGCCTGTGCCCTGTGTGAGGTGTACCCATGTAGAGTTTCCATCTGGGCCTGTCTGGAGGATCGGCTGGTGCTGGTTTGTGTCCATGGAGGAGAGGCATGTCCTGGTGTACCAGCGAGTCGAGGCCACGATCCACACAGAAGCACGGTCACCGGACTGCCTGATGGCGGCCTTGGACTCGCTCGGATGCTTGCCCACCACGATCCGCGGGACGTCCCGGTCAGTTCCCTGGTGGATGAGATGGGCGGAGAAAAAGACAGGAAGGAAGCAGGTAGTGTAGACAGGTCATCCGTCAATAGCGACACCGATGTGCACGGGGGGGTGGGTGGGCTCCTACCTACCGTGACGTGTTTCAGACGCAGGTGTGGGTTTGCGATCTTAAGATCGTTGAAGAATTGCCGACTTCGCACGCCAAGCTCGCTACCGCCATTGCTTTGCAGCCACTTGTCCAGCCGCTCTATGAGCTCCTCGCTGCCCAGCCACCCCTGCAGATTCAATAGCAACCATCGAGAGAGGCTTTGGCCTGCGGTGAGTCCATCCGTCAGTCCATCCGGTCTTGCGTACCGAAATGAAGGAGATGTAGTCGTCCTTGTAGATGCTGAAGAGTGCCTCTAGCTGACGCTTGCTCTCATCCTGTGTGCCAGTCAGATCAGCAACGCAGGCAGGACAGCGAGGGGTGCAGTGGCCGCTGGTGGGCTGCATGTTTGTGTGTGGGTGTGTCACGCCTTCCTTGCCTTGGTGATGAACTTGGCGCACTGGCGGTCTGCAAACGTGACGTCTACATACATGATATCCACCTGTGGCCACACACACATCCACGCCAGCCATGCCACCGCCGACGGCCGTGTGCACGTGAGTGATTCGTCATTGTTTGTGGGTGGCTGGCTGACCTTCTCCCTCGCCTCTTGAAGGACTGGGTGCGACAGCAGCCCAGCGTAGAAGCGGAAGTCGCCCGTGTGCATGTGATATCGCCCGCCCGCTAATCGCAGCACCACCCTGTAGCACACGACACAGCACAGCACAGAGCACAGCACAGCACACGCATCCGGCAAAGAAAACCGCAAGGATGCCGCCGCTTCGCTTGCTTGGTGTGCTGTGCGTCCCTGCCTGCCTGCCTACATTGCTGATCCAGCCATGTGGTTGGCATCGATGAAACACATCTGAGTGACACACACGACACCCACACAGGCAGAGCTCGAGCAGGTACGCCTGGCTTTGTTCCGAGTGCCGCGGCTGACCTCAACGATCCCAGCGATTGGATCCTGGATTTCCGTCCACACTACGTGCTCTTCCACACTCACGATCTCCTGACACACACAGATGAGATGCGTCCACGCTTCACACCGCTGACGACAAACAAACAGGCCGCCTCGTCGTTTCTTGCTTGCTCACCACTCTATCCTTGGGCACAGCCAGAAGGTCCTCGTGGGTGATGAAGTCGAACGTCTTTTTTGTGCAGTATATCTTGCCATCCTGCCGCTCACAGAATGCACGATTCAGCCCTCTATAGTGATCTGCATACGCGACACAACACAACAAAAGACAGACATACGCAGATTAAAGAGTATGCACCGCACCGCATCCGCCCATCACATCCTGCATCTCTGTGTCCGTCCGTCCGTCCGTCCGTCTGTCTGTACCAGAATGGAAGTGTGTCAGGATGAATGAGGGTACGCCGAAGGTGTCATCCACCCGTACGAATCTGTCGACGAAGATGAGTGTGTTGGGAAACGTGGCATTCGTGCACATGACGCCAGTTTGTGAGGAGTTTGTCCAGCTTCAATTTTGGAGCTCGCCAGAAGCTCGCACGAAACAACAAGCGCTGACGCAATTAATGGAACATACAAAATGAGCGCAAAAGATGTGGCAGCCACGCCGCAGACTACACCCCTAGCTGCCGTGCGGTGTCAGCGCTGACAGTCTGTGACTGAATCCTCCCTGTGCGCGGGCCGCGGTCGGCGGCGCTCTCTCATGATGCCCCGTCGTCGCCTATGGCTGCCATTTGCTCTTTCGCTGCTCCCAGCTGTGGCGCACATTGCGCAAGCAGACCTGCCACCATGTGCCGGTGAGCGAGGGAAAGCCCTTCAGGAAAATCGCCCGCTCAAGACTGTTGGTTGGTGTGTGGGTGGTGTCGTGTCGGGTGCAGCGAACGTGAGAGGGTGCGAAGCTGCGGACCTTAAGGAAAACGGAAATGGCACTGAAGGCGCCGCAAACGCCACCGCTATGCAGGGCAGATGGCCAACCAAGCCAGCCTGCACAGATGACGACCTTTCTAGACCGCTCTGTGCTGCGTCCGTGTGTGTGTTTGCCTGCAGTGTACGAGGGCACTCCATCGGAGGAGCGGGCGCCAGGAGAGGAAGGACAAGAGGGGGACGAAGAAATGATGGACATCCAAAGAGGTCAGCAAGCGACACCCACTCACTTCATCCTGCATACCGCTCTCTCTTATGCCCAACCCACTCCACAGCGAGGGAGGTATGGGGGAGCGACCCGATCGTGGGGGAGTTTCCACGCCTCACAAATGAAACCATAGAGGCCCTGATCGCCTCCATCGTCGCCAAGATGACACTCGAGCAGAAGGTCGGTCAGATGGTCCAAGGCGAAGCTCCCATCAATGTCAACGCCACACACGTCAAGACCTACGCACTCGGCTCCGTCCTCTCGGGCGGGATGCTCCGATTCGCCGGCAGCACCGACCCTCACACATGGCTGGACCACACACAGGCCTACTTTGACGAGGCTGTGGAGGTCGACGGGCACAAGGTCCGAGTGCTGTGGGCGATTGACGCTGTGCACGGCCACAACAAGATGCCCGGCGCGACCATCTTCCCACACAACATCGGGCTCGGCGCCACGAGGGATCCCGCCTTAGTGGAGAAAGTGGGCAAGGTGACGGCACACGAGGTGGCCTTGACAGGAATCGACTGGAACTTCGCGCCATGCCTCGCTGTTCCACAGAACGAAAGGTGAAGTCAAATCAGACGCACGTCGCACCCATCCCACCCGACACGTGTCATTTTTCCGTCGTAAGATGGGGGAGGACGTACGAGGGCTACTCCGAAGACCCCAAGGTAGTCGAAACACTGGGTGCGGCCTACGTACGCGGCCTGCAGGGCGAGCCAGGCAACAGCACCTTCCTGGATCTGGAGCACGTGATCGGGACAGCCAAACACTTCATCGGCGACGGTGGGACGGGCAGCGGCGCCGACCGAGGCAACACCAAGGTCACCGAGGAGACCCTCAGGGACATCCACGGCCGTGGCTATCTGTCGACGCTCAAGCAGGCCGTCCAGACGGTCATGACGTCCTACTCCCGGTGGAACAACGTGGATATGCACAACCACAAGTATCTCATCACCGACGTCCTCAAGGTGCGGGGCGGTGCGGTGCGTGTCACATCACATATATGTGTCACTCAAATGTGTCACACGCCGCCCCCGGCCGTGTGTGTTGTGTTGTGTTGTGTTGTGGTGGACTGGACAGGGAGTGTTGGGCTTTGACGGCATCGTTGTGTCCGATTGGTACGGCATGGACGACGTGCCGGGATGCGACAGGCGATCATGTGCACCATCCATCAACGCGGGTCGGGTCCGTCCGTCTTAGACACACATGCAAAGCACACCGTGACGCCTGTCCATCTGTGGGTGGGTGTCTGTGCATCAATCAATCAGGCATTGACATCATGATGGTCCCGGACTACGACCACTGGCGCCCATTCATTCGCAATACCATCCGCCAGGTCGAAATCGGCCTCATACCACAAGAGCGAATCGACGATGCCGTCACCCGCATCCTGCGGGTCAAGGCGAGAATGGGCCTGATCGAGCCCAAGCAAGGCACCTACGAGGGCGTCTACGTGCGGCCCTCCCCCTCTAAGCGCACAGAGGAGCTCAGACGGCAGGGCCTGCAGCTGTCCTCACCCGAGCACAGAGAGGTGGCCAGGGAGGCGGTCCAGAAGTCGCTCGTCCTTCTCAAGAACAACAAAGCGGCCAGGACCGGCCGGCGGCCCCTCCCTCTTGCCAAGGACAGCGTGGTGCTGGTTGCTGGTAGAGCCGCCGACTCCATCCCCTTGCAGGCGGGGGGCTGGACCTTCATGTGGCAAGGCGACATGGGGAAAGACAACAGCTTCTTTAAGCCGGGGCAGTCCATCCTAGACGGGCTTGAAGGCCACGCTTTAGACGGGGGTGGGAAGGTCATATATGACAGCAACGGCACGGAAACACACGGCGACATCGACGTGGCGATCGTCGTCATGAGCGAGCAGGTACGCACTCACCACGTCGGGTAGCTGTGCTGTTGGGCTATGATATGATGGATGTTTGTTGTGCTGTTGGGCTCAGCCGTATGCCGAGATGTTGGGTGACCGTCCTTTCCCCAGCCCGCTCGCATTCAATGCCACGGAGGACGGCCAAGTGGACCACGAGGTACTGCATCGCGTCAAGGCCAGCCACCCCGACGTGCCCCTGGTCGCCATCCTGCTCTCCGGCCGGGCTCTTTACATCAACAATGAGATCAACGCGGCCGACGCATTCGTGGCGGCATGGCTGATCGGCACGGAGGGTCAGGGTGTTGCGGACGTGCTTTATGAGAACGGGCCGGACTTCCACGGCCGGCTGCCGTACACATGGCCGTCACATCCGTGTCAGGTGCCGGTGGGAGCCGAGCAGCCATCAGCCTTCCCACTGGGCTACGGGCTGAGTTATGAGGATGAGGTGCATGTGGAGCCTCTGCCTGAAGACGCACCTTCGTCATGCGGTGCGTGACGCAAGGGAGGGAGGGAGGGAGGGAGGGAGGAAGGGAGGAAGGGAGGCGCCGCTCTCATGCGCCGTTTCTGTGCAATTCAGATGCCTTCGGTGATTTTGAGATGGTTGGGAGCAGCCAGTGTGTGGTGGAGATGCCCGACATGACGCCCGACGCCCTGCTGCGTGTGACGGAGGACGTGACGATCAGCATGGAGGCGTGTGCCACCCTCTGCCAGCGGTCCGGCAGCTGCCAGGCCTTCGACTACCTACCCACAGCGCGCAAGTGCCGCCGTCACTTCTTCGCCCTGCAGTCGACCATGACGGCTGACGGGCTCGTCGTGGGCCTGGCGGCAGACACTGAGGAAGACACAGAGAGGCCCCCTGCTGGCGCCGAGGCACGGTGCTGGAGACGCATTGGTGAGGCAGAAGCGACGGCTGTGTGTCATGCGTGTTCGTGTGCAGTGCATGGTTTACTTTACATGTTGTGTGTGCGTGTGTGCAGAATCATCGGTTGAAGACGACATCTGTGTGTCTCTGGGCGGCCGGCTGGCGCCCGACGCCAGCGCCCTGTGCTGCCCCGCCCACTGCACGGCATGTGGACACGAAGCCTGCTCGCTCCTCGAGCAGCTCTCACAAGATACCACCCTCACCACGTTCCCAAGCTCGGGCAACCTCTGCTGCTTCGAGGCTCTTCTTGAGAGCGGCAAGCTGCACCGCTGCGCCTGGGACAACTTCATCTTCCCGCCATGTGTGGCAGAGCCGCCGATAGAGGGCTTCGAGCTCCGTTATCTCGGCGGTTGTGAGGGCGACCCAGAGCCATCGTCAGGCAGTAGCAGCGACAGGAGGCTCGATACGTCCCTGGCACCCCACCGTCGTGAGCTCAGCCACCGTCAGACGGAAAAGGAGAAGCCTATTTCCATCACGCTGCAAGTCACCGACACGATCACCCGGGCCCCGAGAGTGGTTGAGGCGGCCGACGTGAGTGCGTGTGCCGACAAGTGCCGGAAGAGGTCGTGGTGTGCTGCTTTCGACTTCAGCCAGGACGCCACACACGATGCGTGCAGGCTCTTTGCTGAGTCGCCATCGGAGGCGTCGCAGCACATCCGCGACCGCCAGAGATGCTATACGAGGAGCGGTACACACGCCCACACACACGCCCACCGGAGCGTCACGGCATATGGACGGACGGATTGCATGTGCGTGTGTGTCAGAGCCCAGTGGTGCGATGCAGGCATGTTTTGAGAGCGACGGCAGGTTCCACCTGGTTGACGGGAGGGGCGCGGTCTGCCTTACCCCTCTAGGGGGCGATGCGGTGCTCGAGGCCACCGTCTACTCGGCCAACCAGACCAGCTCAGCCCCATACGCATTCCCAGACAAACCATGCCAGCCTGGCGCCGAACTCCCCTGTGTCGCAGGTCGGCAGACAGACACAACATCTCCTTCCATCTGATGTGATGTCACTCGTCTGTGTGTGTGTTGTGTGGAGTGTGCAGACGGTGTGGTGGACACGTTTGCCTTTGTGGGCGTGGCCACGTGTGAGACCCGCACAAACGCTTCAGAGGCGGGCGAGGTGAAAGCGGCAGAGGCACCCGACATCGACGCTTGCCGGTGGCTGTGTGAGGAGTCGGAGACCTGCACGGGCTTCCAATACGACTACGATGAGGGTGACGGCAGCTGCTGGCTGCTGCAGCGGGCCCCGATCAAAAAGGGCAACGACACACCCACGAGCCGATGCTACCGCAAGAAAGGTAGGGTCCCTACAGGCACCGCACACACCGACAGGCAGTCAGGCAGGCAGGCAGGCAGTCAGGCGGACAGGACAGTGCGCATCGCATCAGCTCCACCCACCCACCTCATGTACGGACATGTGTGTGGGATGTGAATGTGTGTGTTTTGTCAGACATGGACGCCGTGTTGGAGGAGTGTGTGAGCATTGGTGGCATCCCATCGTCCTTCTCAGCAGTCGTCGATGGCGATGTCGAGGACAAGCCGTCACTGCGGTCGTGCTGCCCCGCCAGCTGTGGCGTGTGCGGCGGGGCAGACTGCCTGAAGAGGGACGGCGGGTTGGACAACTGCTGCGACCAGGCTGTGAGGGAGCACCACCCTTTATGCATTCAGAAAGGCTCACCGCCGTGCCAGGCAGGTGAGGTGCGGTACGTCACCAAACATTCAACACACTCACCATGACGTCTCGCTTAACTCACGCTCAGGCTTTGCACCTGAGTCGTTCGAGCTGGCTGGTGTGGGTGGCTGCCGCACCGCTGGCCATGGCGAGACCAACGACATTCAGGGACCTACCACTATTGACGAGTGCGCGGCGTTGTGTGAGGCCGACGAGAAGTGCGAGGGGTTCGATTTGGAGGTGTGGAGCAAGGAGGCCGAGGCCAGGGAGTGGCTCAAGGCACGTAGAGAGAAAGCAGCGAAGGAGGGAGAGCAGGACGGTGATGCAGAAAGCCAAGGCGAGGCATACGCGGACACGGGCAGCTCTGCTGGTGATGACAAGGAAGCCGTCGAGGCGGCCTTCCTGCGGAAGCAGCGAGATCAGAAGACAACAACTGCCCAGGAGGAGAGCCGGCTGGCAGACGAGGGAGAACGGCGCGAGCCGCGGCCTGACAGTGCTGAGGTGAGGATCATAGGCTGCCGGTTGTTCCACGCCCCCATCATCGGCGGCGCCGGAGACGGAGACAACATGCACAGATGCTTCGCCAAGAAAGGACCACAACACGGCGGTGAGTGAGTGACACGACACACAGGGCCATCCCTACGATCTCTCTGTTGTCTTGGTTCAGAAGCAGTGAAAGCAGAAACAAACGAGCATCCCGATGGCAAACTTAAAGCCTTCGCGTCCGCAGCATCCAAAATGGAAGAAGCCCCCGACCTCGCCGAGCCCAGGGCGACTGACACCGACGACGAATCGGACTCAGACTATGATGCCGCCCAAGGCAGCATGGAAGCCGTCGATGCACTGGTGTTTGTTGGGACGGGGGAGTGCCTCATGAGCCACCCATCGCCCGGCGCCCTAGCCGACAGCAACCGGCTGGAGAGGCCTGCCTCACGGCTGTCGGTTGAGGGCTTGCGTGCGTGTGCAGAGGCGTGCTGGGGGGATGGGGGGTGCAAGGGGGTGCAGTTTCGGCGGCAGGCGGAGAGGCGGGGGGCGTGCACGCTCTTCGCGGACTACCCAATCCGGTGAGGGGGATGGGTGGTGGGAGGGAGGGCATACGTCACGTGAGCCCTTCTGTGTGTGTTGGTCATGTCATGTGTGTCACGCCTGCCTGTCATATGTGTGCGGTGGGGTGCTGTGGGGTAGGGTTGCTGCGGATGCCATGACAATGTGCTTCTTCAAGCCACCGCTCCCCCACCACGACGTGCAGGCCGCACAGATCTCACCAGGAGGTCCTTCGTCGCCATCGTGTTTCCTCGACACATACGAACTGACATCCACGACAATCGCCGAACGCAGCCCAGCCGAGTCACCCGAAGCGTGCCAGGTACCTGCGGTGCATCTCAATCATCTCACACACAAGACAAGACAGACACAGAGAGACGTCTACACGTGACTGACGGGCCTTTGCGTCGCATTTATCTATCTGCATGCCTGTCTGTGATGCATGTGAGTGCAGGTGGAGTGCCAGGCCACTCCCCAGTGTGCGGCCTTTACCTTTGCCAACGGGTCGTGCCTCCTCAAGGCATCCTTCGCCCCACAGTTCCACCACGAGACAGCGACAAACGACACATCAGCAGCAGCAGACGGCCGCAATGCCACCTCCGGCCCCCGCAGCTGTGGGCCACACAGAGCCATACAGACAGACAGACAGACAGACAGACAGGGGACAGAAATGCGTGTGTGTGTGTGTGTGTGCAGGCGGCTGGGAATACCACCGGTCGCCCATCAGGCGCGACGACGCAATAGAGGCCGCCCTTGACGAGCTTATGCAGACGCTTGACCTCGACAGCAAGCTGGGGCAGCTGATCTTCCTCAACACCAAGCGTGCCACGGTGGATGTGGCCCGGGCGCTGCGCCCCGGCGCGATACAGATGCCCCGCAACCTGACGGTGCATGAGGCGCTGGAGGCCAACGATGAGCTGTACATGGCCACGTTGGAGGGAGGTGGCGAGCATGCCATCCCTCCGCTGCTGGTGACGAATGGCATGCACGGCAACGCCATGGTGAGGAACACCACCATCTTCCCGCACAACATCGGTCTGGGTGCGGCCAACGACGAGGGCTTGATGGCGCGCATCGGTGCCGCCACCGCCATTGAGATGGCTGTCGTCGGCCTCGATTGGACGGAGGCGCCTGTGGTGGCCGTCACCAGGGATTACAGATGGGGCAGAGTGTACGAGAGCTTTGGGTGCGTGAGACCTCACACCGAACCGACACAACGGACATGCACGCAACACAACCACTCCTGTGTCTCTACGTGAGCAGGGAGGATCCCGAGAGAGTGGCCAGGCTCACTGCCGCCTATCTTCGAGGGCTGCAGGGCAACCCGAACAAGACCGACGAGTACCTGGGTGTGTCCAAGGTGCTCGCCAACTGCAAGCACTTCCTTGGCGACGGTGAGGCGGCCGAGGGTCGGACCAAAGGCAACTTCCCGAGAAGCGAGATGGACCTCGCCAGGACCCATGCCCCACCCTACTACGCATGCATCGACAACGGCGTCCAGATCATCATGCCCTCTTACACAGGCGTCCTTGGCAAATCCGTCCACGGTGAGTGAGACACAGAAGGAAACAGATGGACCGACCTGTGTAGTATGTAAGTGTCTGAGTGAGTGCATCCTGACTGACAGGGTCTCGATACCTGTTGACTGAGGTGCTCCGCGAAAAGTTGGGTTTTGACGGCATGGTGATTAGCGATTACGACGCGTGGAGGAATGTGGAGGTGCCGGTCGACGGCTGCACCCTCGACAACTGTCCCAACGTCATCTCGGCGGGCGTCGACCAGCTGCTCGTCGGACAAGGCAGCTATAACGCGTAAGAACACGCGAAAGCTGGGAGGGAATCGAATCCCGCATATGGATTACTTACCCACACACCCGCTGGCTGTGTCTGTGTCTGTGTCTGTGTTGGTCATCAGGACTCTCACCAACATGAAGACCGCCCTGCAGCAAAACACTTTGTCAATCAGGGCCGTCAACCGCGCCGTGCGTCGCATCCTTCGTGTCAAGATGCGGCTGGGGCTCATGGGCCCCTATGCCGCAAAGGCGGCACGGCAGCGGCCGTCCGAGCGGCCCCTCGCCGGCAGGGCTGACCTGGTGCTGTCGTCCGAGCACCGCGGGCTGGCAAGGGAGGCCGTGCGCAAGTCGCTGGTGCTGCTCAAGAACACGCGGGGTGCCCTGCCGCTGCCCAAGCGCGACAACCATCGTGTGCTGGTGGCTGGTGGGTCCGCCCACACGAAGCGCAATCAGGTCGGGTCGTGGACCCTCGATTGGCAGAGCGCCACGCTGAGCAACGAGTATGACCTCAGCCACACCACCAGCGTCTACGAGGGGCTCCGGCGTATGAGCAGGCAGAATGGGTGGGGCAAGGCGAACCTGCGGCTGAATGGGACGGTCCATGAGGGCGAGCACTTTGACAGTGTGGTGGTGGTGGTGGGCGAGCAGCCATACACTGAGACTGAAGGAGACCTTCATGCGCCGGGACAGGACACATGGGAGAGCCTGGACTTGGCAGCCAGGTGAGACGAGACGAGACGCGCACTTACTTCATACCATCAACATACCAGATGCACGTGTGTGTCTGGCATGGCCCGCAGGTACCCTGAGGACATGGCGATGGCGCGGAGGATTCGGTCGAGGCTGCCCGAGGCCCGCATGACAGTGGTGCTCTTGACCGGGCGTCCCGTGTATGTGACGCCCCTGCTCAACACGGCCGACGCCTTTGTGGTGGCCTGGCTGCCGGGGGGCGAGGGAGGAAATGGGGTGGCCGACATGCTCTACAGGGCGAACAAGAGCTATGACTTCAGCGGCCGGCTGCCGGTGTCGTGGCCAATGCACCCCTGCCACGCCAGCCACACACACAGAACGGCAGTGGGCGGCAACTCTGCGGCGATGATGTTCCCCCGCGGCTTTGGGCTGTCGTACAGCGGCATGGCGAGGGGAGGGGCGAGTGCCGCACAAGTTGGGCAGCTGGAGGAGATGGCGGATGGCCCTCTGGACCGGTGTAGTGTTGTGTAGACCAATCAGGTCGGTCGATCAGCCAGCCTGCCCCGATCGTATCGTGTGTTGATAGATATGTAGATATCCACTCATTTAATGGCAGGCACCCTGTGCGTCTTTTGTTTGTCGCCTCCATCCACTGAATGGGATGGAGGGATGGCAACGTGTGTGTCTGCCTGGCTAGCTGGTGAATGAATTAGGTGTATGGTATGGCATGTGCCGGCATTTTTCTTTCCTTGATTCATGCATCGAGCTAACGATGAGCGTCGGTCGATGTGCATGAGACAGACAGACAGACAGACAATTCGGGGGTGCATATGGTGCAGGGGTCTGTCTGCGTGGCTTTTTTCTGCACGGATGCCCGAATGTGACCGTGCACGTTGATGAGTGATGTGACTGTGTATGTGAGACAGGCATAATGTTGGTTGCCGCCATATTTGTATGTCCGACGTGACGAGCACGCTGTTCATAACACACACATGCCGTCTCATGGTCCGCTGAGGGCTGTTGACAATCAAAGTCCATAGATCTTCAACGTCATCTTCAGCCTACACCCGAGGCCCCATATTGCCCCAAGGATCACGCGATGGATCGAATGGCCAGAAGCTTCGGCTGCCATCTTCGGGAGTCCCTATCAGCCACCCTTAGGATGGATCCCCCCCTCCTTGGGCCACTTTCTGGGACCTGAATTTACGAAAAAATCGAAGCTCGCTTACCTTCTATCGTCGCATAGATGTGGTTGTTATATTTATTTGGCTGTTTGTTGGGTCTGTGTGCGGCCCAGGATCTGTTCATCGACGAGAATAACAAAGAGGAGAGCCCATCGCCGACAAACAAAGGTGAGCACCGCCCCCGACAGCCCGTTCTGTGGGTGGAGGGATGCACCACACACATGGGGACACACCGATGGATCTGTTGTGTGTGTCGGATGTGTGTCATTCCGCAGATGTGTCCGGTTACTGCTTTGTCTTCCGTCGGCTGCCCTGTCCAGCTTCCCAGCGGCCCGTGTGTGCGGCCGACGGCCTGCGCGCATTCACTGTGGCCAACCGGTGTCAGTTCGAGAAAATGCGCTGCGATAACACAAAGCTCAGACTCATCGGGGAGGATACATGCGAGAAGAGTAAGAAACGCCGGCCTTGGGATGGATCTATCTCTATGCTCACGTCACGTGGTGGGGATTGTGTGTTGTCTGTCCATCGATCCATCCATCCATCCACTCAGTGGCGGCTGTTGAGGTGTCGGCGAGTTATGGGACCGGGGACTTATGTGACCAGGCGTGCCTGACGGAGTATGCGCCCGTGTGCGGCAGTGACGGCACCACCTACAGCAACGAGTGCTTCCTGGAGATCGCCAGGTGTCGACAGCCCTCACTCACGATTCTGCACCAAGGGGAGTGCCAGCCAGGTGAACTGGAATCATCTCCATCTACTCTCCATCCCGTTTCATTGGCTGATGTGTGTTTCTGTGGTTGTGGTTGTGGTTGTGTGTGTGCAGAGGACAGCGAGGAGGAGGACACGTCTGCAGTCGAGGCTCCCCCCGCTGGCCCCGACGCCATCAAGTACCGACAAGCCAGCATCGACGGTGAGTGACTAACACCGCCTCGCGCGAGAAACTGACAGAAGTACGTTTATGTGTGGGTGTCTGTCTGTTTGTGTGGCGTATGTCATGTGATGCAGAGGAGGAGCAGACGACGCCCCCGCCCGAGGAGTCAGGCGATGACGAGGAGACCGTCGCACCGGGCGAGGAAGCGGAAGACATGCAAGACGAAATTGGTATGTGTGCATATATACAACACCAAACACCCGTGCCTGAAGCGCCAAGGGCATCGTTTCCTCTCTCTTGTATGTCTCAGAGGAGGTCGCGGGTCCGCCGGATGAGGAAGCAGCCGACGAGGCACCAGGTCCGCTTGAAGATCACTCTGCACGGAGCCGGCAGTTGTCACAATTTTTGTGTGGTGTTGTTCACAGCTGCCCCCGAGCCCAAAGGGTGCAAGGAGTGCGACATGACATACCAGCCTGGTACGTAAGGAGGGGAAGGCTGGCAGCACAACACAAGTTCATTGTGGTCCCTCCCTCCCTCCCCTGTTCATTTGTATGTGTGTGTTCAGTGTGCGGCAGCGACGGTGTGTCGTACGTCAACAAGTGTCTGTTCGAGAGGGCCGTGTGCGAACTGGCCTCACCCGACGTCATCATGACCTACACTGAGGGACCTTGCCCCAGGGGTGCCGGTATATGCATCAGCCAAGCCACACACTCTTGTCATGTCTCCTCCCTCCCTCCCCGATGTATTTATCCATCAGGCGGCTTGAAGCGGCCTCTGTTTCCTGACGCTTCTGACGAGGTGGCGGTCGACTGCGAGAAGCTCCAGGATGTGGTGTGCCCCAGGGTCCTGGAGCCCGTGTGCGGCTCTGACGGCGTGACGTACCCCAACAGCTGCATTGCCAAGATGGCGAAGTGTAGCAAACCCGAGCTGGAATGGCAACCAGGAGAGTGTGACGATGGTGGGTTTGGGGCGGCAAATGGAGGGAGGGAGGACAAGGGCCACATGGCGTGTTCCTCATGACTCGTGTGTTGTCTGTTGTCTGTTTGTCAGGTGTCCGTGAGTTGCAGGGGGACTGCAAGACGCCATGCTACGCCCAGAAGATCCCCGTCTGCGGCAGGCAAGCCAGCCACACCCACTACAGACATGGAAGCCAACCACTCTCTGTGCACGTCACTCTCTCCCTGCCTGTCTGTCTGTCACTGCAGTGACGGCGTGACGTATGACAACATTTGTCACTTCGCCAACGCGTACTGCGACAACGACAGCCTCACCTACACCAAGGGCAAGTGCGCCAGCCGTGTCCTCCGGATCCTGCAGGCGCCCTTTCGGCGCTTCCAGGACTGGTGGGAGGGCAACAGATGGGGCGGGGGCACCGCCACCACTCGAACCAACCGACCCAACGCCACTGCCGACTTCTGCAACCCCGACCTGAGCCCAGAGCTCATTTCGGAGATGTGCCCACCGGCCTTCCTAGCGCAGCCCGTGTGCGGGTCCAATGGCGTGACGTACGACGATTGGTGCCGGTTCAAGGTGGCCCAGTGCAAGGAGCCGGCCATGAGGCTGGCTGCGATGGAGGCCTGCGACGGTAAGTAAGATGTTGATGGATGGCAATGGCAATGGCAGCAGAGCAATGAAGGAGAGTTCATGAGATCCATTCACTTGTTTATTTGTTTATTTGTTTGTTTGTTTGTTTTGTCGTGCAGACAACGGGGATGATGTGATTGCTGGCGCGCCCCCTCCCAGCAATGTCGGGCCTCGACGCTTGCAAAAAGGTAATTAAGCCAGCCGTGAGAACCGAACCGAACCGACACACACGCATGCAATGCACACCACACCGTGCGGGTCTCTTCTGGTCGTGCCTGCCCTTCCCTGCCTATCATCTCATCTCATCAGAGGATGGTAAGGTCGAGCGCATCAAGCTCCGCCGCCCGCGTGAGGGCGCCGGCAAGCCCTGGCTGGACTGGCGCGTCAACCGCACCGAGATCATGGACAGGATCTGTGAGCGTGCCGGGGAGGTGCTGACCAAGCGGTGCCCGGCTTTCCTGCTGGAGCGAGGGCCGGTGTGCGGCGACAACGGTGAGGTGTACGAGTCGTGGTGCCACTTCAGGGCGGCGCAGTGCAACGACACGGAACTCAGAGGGGTCAAAGTCACGCCGTGTGACCAACAGGAAGACGGTGAGCAAGGCAAGCGACACAGACAGAGAAGGGGAGCAGAGCAGAGACGTGTGTGTTATGTTATGGCGTGTGTGAGATGGATGCTGCAGAGGAGAAGGCAGAGGGAGGTGAGGGTGAGGGTCGTCAGCTGCAGAGTGGGCTTGGGCGGCTCGGTGAGCTGGATTGCGGGTGCCGCATCGAGGCCTACGGCCGCCAGCCGGTGTGCGGCAGCAACGGCATCACCTACCGCAACATGTGTGCCTTCACCAGGGCCAAGTGCAGGAACAGCAAAATACGCGTCACCGCCCGCAACCGATGCGGATTCACATCTGTCCAGTTCCTCTCACACAACGTCTCGGAGCCAATCCCACCTCCGCAAACCGAGGTCGCCCCTGAGGAGGCACCAGACGCCGCCCTGCCTCGCCAACTCCAAAGTGGCGACGTCAGTCGAGAGCAGCTGCAGCAAAGTAGGCACACACAGAGAAACTGCGCCTTGTGTGGCTGGCTGGCATTGGTGTGCGTGCGTGTTGTGTGCAGGTCTGGGTTTTTCCCAGCGTGTGACGGGCGACGTGTGCAAGTGTGACGTGGCGGCGTACGGCAAGGACCCCATCTGTGGTGGCAACCAGATCACCTACGTCAACGAGTGCGCCTTCCAGCGGGCCAGATGCCTGATGCCCAAGCTCCGCAAACTCACCAGGGGCCCCTGCGGCACAACCGTCAAATTCTTCGGTACGTGCGGTGGCTGGGCAGGGCAGGGCAGGCACACAGAAGAAACAAGTTTCCGTGAGGCGGGCATTCGTTCATTTAGGAGGCTTCCGCGGTCTGTCTGAGGCCAACGCCACGGTTGCCATAGATTTCGACAAGGACTGCATGCGGCCATGCGCATTCGAAATCGACCCCGTCTGCGGCAGCGACGGGGTCAGCGACACGACCACACACACATTCACTTCAGACACCAGACAGACAGACAAAAGCTCACACTGCAGTCAGTGACCACCCACCTCTCCTTGATTATATATATTCATGTGGTTGGTGTGGTGTGTTAATACAGCTGACGTACCCTAACGAGGAGTGCTTCCAGAACTGGGGTTTGTGCCGCGACAAGTCGCTCACCTTCACCGACGGCTCATGCGAGGGGAGTGAGGGTGGGGACCGGCGAATGCTTCAGAAGAAGGGTAAGGACGAGACGGGCCAGGAGAAGACCGCTGCCGACTTCAACTTCGCTGGCGACGACTTCACCTTCCTCGTAGACGGTGCGCACTCTCATCATGACACACAGACACGTGTGTGGTTATTTATCGGACGGCTCGATGGCTGGATGTGATGGTTCACTCAGACCGGGATCTCGGTGAGGGTCAGGCAGCGGCGTGCAGCATGATCTGCCCCACTAAGGAGCAGCCAGTCTGCGGCAAACACAGAGTCAGTAACGTAAATAACGGAGGAAGGACGGGGGGAAGCCAGAGACCACACCACACCACACCACAGCACATGACAGTCCGTCCAGCTCACCATTTCATTCATTCTGGTGTGTACGTGTGTAGAACGGTCTGCTGGTGACCTTCCGCAATGTGTGTTACTTTGAGTTCCGCCGGTGCATGTCCAACGACGCATGGGCGGTGCAGAGCTTCGGCAAGTGCCCCGACACCAAGACAGCGGCGCCAGACGAATCCAATGACGTCATCATCCCTCCGGGGCTCGGTGCGTCGGCTCAGCCGGCATCCACACCACACACAGACCAGACACACACAGAACAGAGGGACTGCGGTCTTCTTGTGGATGTTTGTTTGTGTGTTGTGTGTGTTGTGTGGGCTGTGTGTGCAGGTACTGAGGAGGATGTCAACTACGGACAGGCCATCAAGTGTCACTTTGCGTGCCCCACAGAAATCCTCCCTCTCTGCGGAAACGATGGAGTGAGTCCCTCCCTCCCTCCATCGTGTGTCTGTCTGTATGTCAACCGGTTTGTTTGTCCCCTCGTCTGATGTGCAGAATACGTACGAGAATCTCTGCATGTTTGAGGCGGCCCGCTGCAACGACACCACAGGCAACCTCAAGCTCTTCAGCATCGGCCCATGCACCGAGGCACGACTCGCCCAAATCTCCGGGGGCGCCGGACAACAACTCGCACAAGGAAATATAGAAGCCACGGACGATGGTACCCCCTCCCCCAACACACCTCACACATATGTCTCTTCGCCTGTCTGTTCTAATGCCTGCAGGCAACTCCACTCGTGCGTTGCAAGAAGCGTCCTGCATGTGCAACGTGGCATCATTCGGCAAGAATCCCATCTGCGCCAGCAACGGCATCACCTACCTCAACGAGTGCCACTTCGAGCGCGCCCGGTGCCGCTACGCAAAGATACGAAAGGTCGCCCACGGCCCCTGCTCCCTCAACCAGCTCAGATTCTTCGGCGTCAACCGAACACAGCAACAACAGCAGCAGCAGCAGCAGGCCGCCATGGTGCAGGGGGGCAAGACAGAGATGCAGCAGCAGCCCAGAGGACTCAAACAGGACGGTCGGTGGGCGGCCGCACACACCCACACACATGGATGGATGGATGGATGTGTGTGTGTGTGTGTGTGTCAGGTGGTAGAGGGCTGCAGGGTGCTGAGATTGATTGCAACGAGCCTCCCGAGGATTGCCTCGCCATATGGGACCCAGTCTGCGGCACCGACGGGGTGAGACCGACCGGCCTCTGGCTGTGTGTGTGTGTGTGTGATTTGTGTGATTGTGTGTGCAGAAGACGTATGACAACGCGTGCCGCCTGCGGCTGTACAAGTGCATGGTCAGCCCCGAGCTGGCCAAGGCCCACGACGGCGAGTGCACCTCCGGCGTGTAGTAGTGGGATCGATCCCCCCGATTAGTGTGGTTAATCTAATTATCATATTTATAACGAACGAACACAACACACCCACGCCGCACCGCGCCGCACAGAGGGGAGGATGCATTGATTGCATGGCGTCAGTGTGGTGTCCGTGTCCTTTTTGTAGTATATTTCTGAACAAAGCGAGGCGGGCAATTGAATTGTAGCAGTGCGGTGCATGACTGTGTGCACGTGTGGGTGTGTCCAGGTGTGGGGCGTCTGCAGAGAGCGACAGGGATGTTTTTCAACGCCAGCAACGGGCCACCGACCGATCTGATCACCACACGCCCCCCACCCACAACGAACGAACAGAAACCCACCCCGCTACGTGAATGAGATGCCGCTGTTCGTTCGTCTCTCTGTGCGTGTGTGTGTCCATGCCATGTGTGTGTGCAGTCCTCTTCTTTTTCTCTTCGTGTCACATGTGCTTGTGTGTGTGTGCAGGGGGAATTTGTTGTGGGGGTCGCCATATCAATCAGACAACGGACGGACACAGACAGAGAGACACAGACGCGCAAATGCCTGATGGATTTCCATCTGAATGCAATGCTCCACCGCCAGCCACCCTCGTGTGTAGCTCGAATGGCGTAGACTGCGCATTCACGCATGCAATCCAATCCGTCTCGGTCCGTCCACACCTCACGACACACACGAAACGAGCAAGCACACACACACAACACACCCCACAGAGACGTGTAAGGTAAGGGACATCCAGGCTTCCGTCCGTGCACGCCACGCAGGCACACAAGGATGGGAGGGGGGGAGGGAGGCATCCCATCCATCGGATAGATAGAGCGAGGAAGTACGTAATGTGCGAAGGAAGTTAGGTAGGGGCCCTGAGTGAGTGGCTGGGGAGGGAGCAAATGCGTGTGTAAATGGGACAACGACGCGTACACAGACATACATACACAGACAGACAGACAGTGATATAGAACGAACAAGCTTTGATGGTAGGCAGGTAGGCGGGATGGGGTGGGGTGGGTTGGGTGTGTGATCATGACATGAGCGGGCCTCTCCTCTCTCCTCCCTCCTTCTCAGCCAGCCAGCCAAATATACAGTGTGGCGCATGGATGTTATGTATGTGTGGCGGTGTGAGTGAGGGAGGGACCCCTCGGCTGCAGGTAGGTGATCCGATCCGTCTCGCTAGCCTGTTGATGGTCAGTCAACTCGCTGGCTGGCTCACCCACCGTCCAGACCAGACCAGACCAGCCAGATCACCATCAACAACCGAGAGGCCACCGACAGACAGACAGCCCAGAGAGAGTAAAATCCAGACACAACAGAGAGAGAGAGAGAGAGAATCAAATGCTCGTTTCCACTCCACGTATGCCGTATCTATCTGCGTGTGTGTGTGATGTGATGTGATGTGATGTGACACATACGATAGAGCTGTGCCGTGCCGTCTGGACAGCTAGCTGAGGTGGAGGTATCTATCGATCGTATCACCCCCTCACTCACTCAGTCACCCAACTCACCCCACCCACCGGTGAATGACTGACTCAGTTACCACACAGCCAGTCATTTGCCAGAGAGTAGGAAGGTATCTATATCAGGCGGGCGCGGCGCGGCGCATGTGGCAAAAAGGTTTGATGGTTTGATGGCTCTCTCTCTCTGTGCACCCAAGCCAACCCACCGTACGGCCAGGCCAGCTATGTCGCTAGGCAGGATGGGATGGATAGGCAGAATAGAGAGAGTGAGTAGAGTGGGTGGGTGTCGCACCAGATGGGACATATAGATAGCGCCGCCAACACACACACATAGACACACACGTACTCTTGAAACACCTCATTCTTCGTTCCTTACACAGACAGACAGACAGACAGAAACCCCGCCCAGCAGCAGCAGCAGCATGGAGACGGTAAGTAGATATCAATGCATCCCCCCTTCCGTCCCTCACTGCTCCCCCTCGTGTGATGTGGTGGTCACGCCATCAGCACCGTCAGCAGCAGCAGCAGCATCAGCTGCTGCCTCACCCTCCTGCCGCTCATCAAACGCCGCATCGCCATTCACCGGATCGACCTCGCCCCCACCTGACAGGCCTGGGCCCTTGCTCTCCCCCTCAGTCGCCTCCGTCTGGGCTCCCACAGGCTGCTTGGCCGGCGACACGACCGGTGTTGTCTGCTGCTCATGCGCGTCGACAGCTGTGGTGGTGTCCACGACTTGCTCGCTGCTGTCACCATCTTGTTGAAGGACTGGCTCGGTCGAGCCGTCCGCTGCAGGTGCAGCTTCCTCCGCTGCCTCATTTGGACCACCCGAGCCGTCCACCACCACTACTGCCCCCTCCTGCGTGTTGCTGGCGTCACTACTGCCGTTGTCCTGCTGGTCGGCAGTTTCCTCGATGCGTGGCTCCTCGTTGTTTGGGGCTGCGGCAGACGAGTCCTCCTGTGTGCCTGCGGGGGCCTCGTTGTGGTCAGTCTGTCCGTTGCCGTGTTGGTGGTCGTTGACCTCCTCGGGGCCGTGGGCGTTCATCTCCAGGACTGTACCGTCCGACGTCGAGGGGAGGCCAGTGGAGGTGGAAGCCTCCTGTGCGGGGGCGGGGGCGTCCTCGCCCTCTATGGCCTCCAAATAATCGTCTGCAACCTCACCTGCCGGTGGCAATGATAGCATAGCACAGCAACCAGCCGACAGACAGCAAAATGTGGATATGAAATGGAACATTCTGACGTTTTCCGTCGTGTGTCTGCATACCTGCCGTCTCCGCAGCCTCGCGCTCATCAGCAACGATCTGCAGACAACCGGGGGAAAGGGACATTCATGCACCGATGCCTGTCTGCCTGCCTGGCCTGCCTGCTCACCGCATCGTCAGCCACAGAGGCCGCCGTCTCGGCCATGACGTGGGCCTCGTGAGTGGCGGCAATAACGTCGTCGGCCACCTCACTGGCGGTCTCGGCAGCCTCACGCTCGTCAGCCAGGATCTGAATGGCAGGATCACATGTGGCAAAGGGCCCGACAGACCCTGTCTGCTCTGCGCGCCTTGCTCGCCCTCCTTATCTCTCACTGACCGCATCGTCGGCCACCTCGGACGCTGTTTCCGCCATGACGTGGGCCTCGTGAGTGGCAGCAAGGAAGTCGTCCATGACCTCCCCGGCCGCCTCCGCAGCCTCATGCTCGTCAGCAACCATCTGACATGACAGGAAGGAGCATGGAGGTTTTCCCCCCTGAGTGGTGCTTTGCTGGCCTACCGCATCGTCAGCCACAGACGCCGCCACCTCCGCCATGACGTGGGCCTCGTGTGTCGCAGCAATAACGTCGTCCGCCACCTCACTGGCGGTCTCAGCAGCCTCACGCTCGTCAGCCAGGATCTGAATGTCAGGAAACCCTGGCTATGAGCCCTCCTCTCTCCTCTCTCACTCACCGCATCGTCTGCCACTTCACTGGCAGTTTCCGCCATGACATGGGCTTCGTGTGTCGCCGCCACGAAGTCGTCGGCCACCTCACTGGCGGTCTCGGCAGCCTCACGCTCGTCAGCCAGGATCTGAATGGCAGGATCACATGTGGCAAAGGACACGACAGACACCCTGTCTGCTCTGCGCGCCTTCCTTGCCCCCCTTCCTCTCACTGACCGCATCGTCGGCGACCTCGGACGCTGTTTCCGCCATGACGTGGGCCTCGTGAGTGGCGGCCACGACGTCGTCCACCACCTCACCTGTGAGAGAACCAAGGGAGGGACACACATGTGATGTGCAAAGTCTCTCTCCCCCGCAGGCATGGCGTGGCTGTCTGTGTCGTTCTCACTGGCGGTCTCGGCGGCACGTCGATCGGTCTCCTCGAGGTCTAGCTCGGCATCGGCCACCTCCTCCGCCGTCTCGGCCGCCAGCTGACTCATGCCCTCAGCCGCATCCTCCGCTACAGACGCCGCTACCTCCGCAGCGTTGCGCGCCTCGACCGCATCCATGACGTCAGACACGAGCTTGGCCGCCACGTCCTCCAGGCCGTCTCCCTCTTGCACCTGTGGCTCCGTGGATGACGGCTCAGCTGGAGACTCAGCCGCGGCTGGGGCCTCTTCCTCTCTGTCTTCTTTGGGCTCCTCCTCTGTTGGCTCCTCAGGTGCGCCCTCGCCCTCGCCCTCCTCTTGCTGCTCTTGCTGTGGCTGTGGCTGCTCTTGCTGCTCCTCGGTGGTGGGCTCTTCGGGCTGCTGTGGCTGCTCGGCAGGGATGGCCTGCTCCGGTGGCTCGACGACGGTTGCGGTTGCGGCTGGGGCTGCTGCTGCGGCTGCTGCTGCTGCCAGAGGCGCCTCCTCTTCCTCTTTCTTGTGGTCCTGCTTCTCTTCCGTCTCCTCTGCGGCCTTGGGCTGCTCTCCTTCCTTCTCCTCAGCCTCATACCTGGACGAACGGACCAAAAGCCAAATGAATGACCGAGTGAAGCTGGGTAGCTATGTGACAGACGGTATGGGGGGGTTTGGGGGGGTTGTAACGTAACGTACCAGACGTCAGTTTCCTGCTCGTCGGCCCGTGCTGCTGCCTCCTCGGTGGGCAACTGTGGCATGGTCGGTGCGGTGACGCCGTTCTGCGACTGGGCGGTGCTGCCCTCGGGCGACTGCGCATCTTCAAACTCACCCTCCTCGCCACGAGCGGGGGGCTCCTGAGATATATATGAGACGCAGACAGACAGATACACACAACCAACACACGAGGCATGTGTGTATGTGGGTGGATGGATGGGCAGGAAGGCAATCGATAGTGAATCAATCGCTGGCTCCCTCCTCTCACCTCTGCAGGCGGCACGACGTTGAGGTCGGGGATCGCCCGCTCCCCTTGACCCTCTCCCTCTCCCTCCCCTTCTCCCACGATCTCCTCTTCGTCCTCCTCCTCTGCCTCCTCCTCGTCCTCTTCCTCCTCCTCGCCGACATCCCGGATGAGCCCCCTGGCCTTGTCCTCGATGCTCTTGACCCACCGCTCCTGCAGCTCCGGTGTGGGCGCCGTGGCCGCCGCCGACACCGCCCACAGCAGGTTGGACTCAGCCAGTGTGTTCCACATCATCAGATTCAGCTCGTCAATCGAGTGTGTCATGCCGTGGTCTGACACACACATAGGCAGTCAGTCAGACACACACAGATCAGATGGCATGGCATGGAGAGTTTCTCGTGGTTGGTGCGAGAGTGGAGTGAGCCAGCGTACCCTCAGCGAACTTCTGAGAGTTGGCGAGCGGGTCATCGCCCTGTTCAGGGAGGGGAGGGAGGGAGGGAAGACACATACATTGATGGTGTGTGTGGTGTTCGCCCGTGTGTTTTGATCGGTGGCTTACTTTGCAGAATTCCATGGTGGTGCTGGTCTCTGGACTGTGTTTGCCGCACTCGATGGTGAACATCATGACCACATTGCGCTCCTGCGGCCCGACCTCCTCCTCCTCACCCTCTCCAACACCCTTCTCGCCATCTGACCAAGCAACATAGCACAGCACAGCACAGGTGGGGACTCATCTGCAGGGCGTCTTGGTTGTTGTGTGTGGTCCAATCAGGCGTCTGTCTCACCGACCTTCCAGGGCGTCAGCCGATCCCTTGTCGGCCTCCCCCTTGGCCCCTGCCTTGACCGGACGGTATTCCATCAAATTGTCACGGCTGCCCCCTCCCCGGCCGCGACGCTGTCGCCCCTCGCGCCTCCCTCGACCTTTGCCGCCCCTCTCCTTGGAACCACCAGCACCTGCAGGGGCCGGTGGTGGCGCACCTGCTGCTGCAGCACTGGCGCTGCCCGCAGCAGCAGCTGCTGCCACTGCGGTGGCTGCAGCGGCCCCAGCCTTCGGTTTGGCCGACCAGATGGTGATTGTCCGTCCCTTGGCGCCACCACCACCTCCGCCCAGCTGTTGCTGCTGCTGGGCCTGTGGCTGTGGCTGTGGCTGTGGCTGTGGCTGTGGCTGCTGTTGTTGCTGCTGTGTAGTGGTGGTGACGGTGGCGCTGCTGTCCTGCTTGCTGACTTCGCCCTTCTTGCTGCTCCTGCGGCGGCCGCGGCGGCCGCTCTTACCCGTCGCCGCATTCGCATTGGCGGCCGTTGGTGGCTGGCCCTCAGTGGGACCATCCTGCTGCTGGCCGGCGGCGGCTGCAGCTGCAGCTGCAGGTGGCTCGGCGTTGGCAGAGAGAGCGACGGCCTCGGTGGCGGCTTGAAGGTCGGCGGGGGTGGGTGCGCGGGAGGAGTTGGGGGAGCTGTCGTCATCGTACGCGTGCCACGCCTGCAGTCCAGTCAGTCCAGGACAGACAGACAGACACAGACATTGACGTAATGTCGTGGCGTCTCATGTGGGTGCAGTGCAGTGCATGGGCTGGATCGGATCGGATCAGTGTGCCTGCCGAATGAAAATCTCTATCGCATTGCACGCACCTTAGGGCTCTTGAAGGATGGCGTGACCTTCTTCTCGGCCGTTGCGGCGCCAGGCAGCCGCACCTGGCTGCCGTTCAGCTGCCCCACACCACCTGCAGCAGCAGCCGGGCCACTGGCCGATGACGATGCACCAGCAGCAGCGGCTGCTGCGGGCTGTCCCTGCTGCTGCTGCTGTCTTGTCGTTTGGTGCTCTTTTGATGGCTCGTATCGCTGGACGCCTCGGCCACGGCGGTCGGTTTCCTTGGCCCGGCCGCCCTTGGGCTCACGGCCACCACGGCTAGGAGGAGCTGAGCAGGCAAGGACAGGACGGACACACACATGGATGGGATGACAGACAAGAATGTGTTTGTGTTTCCTTCTCTCTCTCTGCTTAGAGAGCTCACCTTCTTTGGGCTTCGGAGCAGCTTGCTGCTGCTGCTGCTGCTGCTGTGACACGACAATTTCCTCTGCAGGCCTGCTTGCACTCTCAATGACGTCCCGGTCCCTGCCACGGCCCCTCCCTCCTCTGCCGCGACCTCCTCGCCCACCACCACCGCCCACTGGATAATGCCCACCATCATCCTGCCCGTCGTCGTAGTCATGAACTCGCTGCTGCTGCTGCTGCTGGTGACGATCGCCCCCTCCACCAGCAGCCGTGGCCAGCCCTCGGCCACGACCGCCGCTGCCACCACCTCGCCCGCCTCTTCCGTAGTCATGATCAACGCGGCCTCCGCCCCGCTGCCCGCCTGCACCGCGTCTGTTGCCCAACCCCCCTCTGCCCATCATGTGCTCTGGGTAGTCGTGATACGTGTCGTACTGGTTGGGCGGGGGGTTGGGCGGCACTGGAGGGGCCGGGAAGGGGTGGAATGATGGCGAAGACGGCTGCTGCTTGGCCATGCCATGGCTTGGTCCGGTGCGACGGTGGTCGCTTCCCGACTGGCGCACGCCGATGTCCATGAGCTGCTGCTGCACGTTGGGCGGATGTCGGGTGTCGCTGCGGGGAGGGGCGTTGGCGCGATTCAGAATGCGCGGGCCGCCCTGGTCCTGCTGGTCGTAGGTGTCGTAGAACGGACGGCCTCCTCGGTGGCCACCGGGGCCGCCGTATGACGAATCTGAACGTGAGCCAGACACACACCAACCCACAAACAACAGCATGGCATGCAAGACGGACCCACTGACTGTCTCTGTCTGTCGCGTCTGCCTCAAGGTTTTGTCTCTCCCCTCCCCTACCCATGGTTCTGTTTCGGTTGCGGGCGCGTGCAGCGGCGTTGGTCTCCCACTCGGCCTCGAGGTCGGTCTGGAACTTTGCACCCGGCATGTCGGGCGGGGCCCGATGCTGCGGCGCTGATGGAGGGTTCGGTGGCGCCACGGGCGGCGCGGGACGGCCGCCACGGTACGGCTGTCGGTCCCCGCCCGAGTCCCAGCGGCTGTCGTTGCGCTGGTTGTAGTAGTTGTCGGGGTTGGTGGCGTAGGCGGGTCGGATGATGGTGGGAGGAGGGTGGGGGGAGGGAGTCGGGCCGGTGGGCGACCGTTCGTACGCCGGCTGGATGATCTGGGGTGGGGGAAACGTCTGCTGCTGACGCATGCCGCCTCCACCACCACCAGCACAAGCACCAGCAGCACCCCGTCCACCTCCGCGAGGACTATCGCGCCGCCACGAGTCGTGTTGTTGGTCTGTCTGCTGGGACCAGCCACTTCTGTCTGTGTCGCGTCCGCCGCCTCCTCCTCCTCTCATGTGGCTGGGCGGTGGGGGTGGCGGGACGTTCGGGGGTGGGAAGGGGGGAGGGTGGTCCGGGGGCGATGAGGGAATGTGCTCGCGGCCGCCGGCACGGACCGCAGGAGGGATGTACCGGGGCTGCTCGGGACGCTTCGGGCGGTCGTCGCGGTCAAGACGCTGCACACATACACACGTACGAGACAGACGGGGGACAGCCAGTTGTCTATGTGTCTGTCTTTTCTGCCTGTCTGTCTGTGTTGCTGCCCTGCCTGTGTGGTATGGTGTTGTGTTGTGTTGTGTTGTTTGTACGTCGTGTGCGTTATTCTGTCTGCCCTGTGCGGCGTTCATCATTTGGTCGGCGTACATGCCCCGGCTGTTGACGTGCACATTGCGGTCCGACCCCTGCCCGTAGTCCGGCGATGGGGAGGGCCGGTCCTCGTACCGATCCTGACGGTATGAGGGGCCTCCACGGTCCTCGCGGTCATAGTCCCGACTGTCGCGACCATACCGGGTGGCACTGCCAGTGGCCGTATGTCTGTCCTCCTGCAGCAGACACACACAGAGAGGACGCCACACCACACCACACAGCATGCAGGTGCAGTGAGTGCATGTGCAGGTGATGAGTGCGCGTGTGGTCTGGTGTGGTGCAGTGCATGCCTGTTTGGGACGGCGCCAGTCGTCATCTTGGCGTCGCCAGTCGTCATTGCGGTCGTTGCGACGCCAGTCGTCCTGCTGGTGGCCGTACCCACCCCCTCGGTAGCGGGACATGGCTGCTATTACTGATGGATGACTCCCTTCCACGAGACAGCGCCGCTCAGCCCCGGCGATCGATTTCCCTCTACCGTCGCACTGTCTTCCGCACACCAGACGGGCGATGGATGCCCTCACACACCGATGGAACACTCAGCCACGCAGCGCAGCCACGACAAACGACAGTGGTGCCGGTGGCAAGAGCTACGCGAGGGACGTCAGAAGGCCGCAGAGACCGCCTCACTGAGGCGAGATGGGAGCTGGTGTTGGTGCGTGAGCCGCCGGGCAGGGAAGGGATGCCGTCTGGTCACTGGAAAAAGTCAGCTCGCTCACCACAGATCTTAAAACAGCACACCGCTCACAAAGCAACGCCGCATCGCATGCGCAACGCAGAGGAAAGGGCTGCGAGCTAAGCTGCGAGCCTCAGGCACGGGGGAAGGTCCTGGAGGCGTCTGGTTGAGGATGAGTGTGTTGAGAGCGGTGACGTTTGTGTTTCTTGGCGTGTGTGGGATCTGCGTATCTCTGTACGCCATCCACGTGGAGGAGATGGCCAAGGTGCCGGGCTACGTCGCCTCATGCGACTTTGGCAAGTTTGCCTCATGCTCACGGGTACCTACCCTGCGCACAGTCCAAAGCCGCCAAAAGCAATGGATGGCCGGATGCTGCATGCTGCATGTGAATGCAATGTGTTTGTTGTGTGCAGGTCTTGTCGAGCGAGTATTCTCACTTCTTGCGGTGGGCCGGTGCGGTGCCGCGGAACCACCCACTCGACGTGTCAAACGCCGTGCTCGGTGGGAACGGAACGCATTGCAAAGTCAGGGCCAGCCATGGGAGATCTCGATTGGTGCCTGTGTGTGTGTGTCAGGTGTGATGTTTTACGTGCTGATAGTTCTGTTTCCGTTGATCCCGGGTCGTGGCAAGAGGCTGGGCTACCTGCTCATGTGCACACTCTCGCTGGTGGGTGAGGCTGGTGGTGGTGAGCCTGGCCGTGTTTCCGCGCCACTCGTGTGTGTGTGTGTATATGACTGACTGGCTGTGTGTGTGTGTGTGTGTTTAGGCCTTCAGCGTCTTCCTGGCGTACATCCTCTATTTCATCCTTGTCGATTTCTGCGCCGTCTGCGTGTCCACATACGTCGTAAGCACACAAAGGCAGACAGACAGGCAAACAGACACCCAAACGGGGAAACACAGGCCAAAGCCATTCTCTCTCTCTCTCTCTCTGTGTGTGTGTGTGTGTGGTGGTATGTGCGCGGCAGTTGAATACTCTGATATTCCTGGCGGTGCTGCGCGAGTATCGAAGCCCGCCGACAGCACCCAAAGCGAAGAAGAAGGCAACGTGAGTGATTGATGGCGGGGCACGACCAGACCAGCTGCATGGGCGAATTCAGGAGGGAGAGCGGGGCGGG